CAGGAATATATCCAGCACCTACCATGTATAAAGCACTGAATCAGTATGATGAAAAATTAAAGAAGACAGGACTGATATGCTTCACATGGTCTCTGCTTAAACTTATGGAGAAGACCTATGCCCATGATACAATGTTCATTCATTCAGCAAACATACATCATGTTAGATATTGGGCTGAGATACACAGACAAGGAGTATAGATATTATCCTCCAAAAGCTCACTATCCAGAAATATGTATAAGATGTTAACTGAATATAATAAAATGCCAAAATGCATGCTAGAGACATTGGAATAGTTTCCAAGTAGTTATGGAGACATAAGAGTAGTTTGAAAGACAGAGAGTAATTATTCTAAAAGCATCAGATAGTATTGTTTAATATCATATACATTGGATAAAACTTACCAAATTATTATACTAATATTTTCAGAGCTAAATCAGCAGGGACATCTGTTCAATTTCTCATTTAACGGAAATGGATACATATTAGCAAAGATGTGTTCTCCTCTGCTAAGAGGGAAAAATCTATCTGGACAGGAAAATGATAAACTATTTAAGGATGCCTCAATGTACTCATGTCTGTACTGTATGCATCACAGTGCCTGAAAGGACCTTCAGGTCCTTTAGCAAGGACCTGACAATTAGCAAGCATTTAAAACTCGTAGAATAAACTCACAATGGAGGTCAGTTAAGGAGTTATATAGCATACCCGCACTCCACCCACCCCCTCCAAAAGAAAAAAAAGAAAAAGAAAAAAGGATTCTTGCTGAGAAGGGCACGTGGCTTATTACTGGCACTTGGAAATAACGCACATGCTTGAATTCTTTTTATTATTTCTGGTGTTTGTGCAGATGGTGTCTCAGAGAAACATACAGACTGACAGACTAAAGGTACATGATAGTAAAATAGAAAGGTTTCATCGAAGGAGTTGGACTTGAAGTAAACTTTAGGGATTGAAGGATTTGGAAAAAAAAATTGCTTTTAATGTTCTGTGTTGGGTAGACTTGCATAATTGGCTTTAGCCTCACTGGATTTCAACAAGGTAACCTGTAGAAATGGAAGACTTAAAGTGAATTTAAATTTCTCTAAATACACTCATCGGTAATATCTAGATTTGTTTAACAATTCCCTTGCTGTGCCATAGTTGTTTATTTCTGAACACACCCAGGGCTGGGACTCAGAGCTCTGTTGCCTAATCACAGTCAAATCACTCTTTCTTATATCTAACTAAATTAATGAGAAATACCACTAAAGGAGGTTTCCACCGTCCTTGTTACCTAATTTTTTTTTTTAGTTTTTCAAACTTAGCTTCTTAATGTTTGGTCTTATTAATATATAGGATATTATCATTTAAAAATCACCTTGGGCTTCTAGTTAACATGAGTTACTGTAACCACAAGAAGTTGAGGGCACAGTAGGTGGCAAACTGAAACAAGAGACACTGTTGGCAATCCAGCATACCCCCTTCAGAGAAGTGCTTATGAGTTGAATGGGGAGAGTCAGGGAGAAAAAGAGGAAGTGAGATTAGGTGTGGTAACACGCATCTACCTTAGAGGATCACTCTTCATTTCTAATTGACAAGGTTGATTCTGTTCAACAAGACATTAACACTACCCATCACTGTTGGCAATGCACTTTATAAACCAGTCCCAGAAAATCATTTTATAACCATTTTGAAAGGATTATCAGTCCACTGTGTAGAAACATCTCACTACACACTGGAGAGGTACACATTTAAATCACTGAAGAGCTTTACCCAAAAAAAGTTGAAAAACTAGTTACAAAAAGTTGATGTTTCAAATAATACCTATCTACCAAAATGTAATTATTTTTTATTATTTGGGTATTACTTGAAAAAACTTAGCAATTTATTTAGACACAAATCAAATGAATTTATATATTGTATTTATCTAAAATAAGGAACACTAACTGAAATATAAACGGATAATGTAATTATTATAGAATCATTATCTCAACCTCTTAAAATAATTTGCAGTGGTTTTATAAAGATAATTAATGTTTAATATCATGCCATAATTCTGTCCAAAGACCACAATATAAATGTCAACTGAAAATGTGTTAATGTACTGCATTAATATGACTACAACACAGGTTGATATCTGAAGTCACAGGGCTGAAATTGACTTAAATTTTATAATACAGTCATTCTTGTATAGTTAACAAGAATACACTTGGGCAAGTTAGTGGGCTGACTGTAACTAACACCTCAAAGTTCTTATTAAAAGAGTAGCATATACATGTGTCAATTCAAACTGCAAACGTCTACAGAACTTTATCCCTGTGATTACTTAAGATTTCTTAGTTAAAAAAAAAAAAAAGCAATGTCTAGATAACTAATACGTCTTGTTGTTTTGAAAAATGTAGTCATTAAGTGCCTGATATATTTATCAATATAAATTTCCTGATGTGGTTATATGATGTTTGGTTAAATAATCTTAAAATAACATCATTTATCTCATGTTCCAAATTAAAAAAAGGGAAATCAGTGATGTTAAAAGTATTCCTATGACAAAATTTTTAAAGCATAAGATAAACAAACATACCTCATATTCATTGGAAACAATAAAGCCTTATTCTGTAAGGTTCCATTTGAGACTTTAAAATAGAATATCAAAATAAGAATTTACTAAAATGCAAAATTGTACTTTACCTCATAAATTTTCAGAAGTTATCTATGTATACCTGCTTTTACATATATACATATATATTCAATACAAACTATGATGTTATAAACAAAAGCTCTTAGTTAGCCTAGTGGTAAATAATGGGGGCTGTACCTCCATATCATATTGGCTATGTCATCTGGGGCAAGTTATTTAACCTGTCTACGTATCAGTTTCACTCCGTCAACTGAGGATTATCAGAGTGTCTCCTCCCCAGAAGCTCTTTAGGGGATATTAAATGAGAGAAGGCACATCATGACTCAATGGTGCCTGGCACACAGTGGTGCACTGCATGGCTCCTCTGAGGAGAACACTCCAGGCTCACGGGATGCATGGTGCCATGACCATTCTTGAACACTTATAAAGTTACATTTGGACTTGTAACTCATAAAATTTGCTCTTAATGGATGAGAAAAGGTCTGGGTTTTGATATATCACAATTTACATCTAGAGCAAAGGTTACATGCAAAAAACTCCCCTATTTATAGTATACCTAAATGAACACCTATGTAACCGGGAAGTGGATCTACAGTTTTTCAGAAATCGAGAACAAGATTAAAAAAAATTTTCAGAATTTTAAGGGAATCTAATAGAAGGAAACCAAATGATGATTGGTATCTTTCAGTCCATTTGAAACTGTAGCCTGTTCCCCAAAAGAGAAAGCAGAACAAGCATAATAAATTTTATAAGATTAGATTTACTGAATGAGGGCTAACAGAGAAGAGGGAGATAATTAAATTCAACTCTTTTGTTTCATGTATGAATAAACTGAAACTCAAAGAAATTAAAGTGTCTCTTTCAAGGCCACAAAGGCAGTTTGTGGCAGAGCCACAAATATTTTTAAGTAACCAATTCCCTCCAGTCTGTCCCAGGTGAGTATGCGACACAGCCTAGAAGTAAGCACAACAGGTTGGTGGTAGTAATTAGGTTGATAACAAATGAAGGAAGTCCAACGACAGCATCCCCAAACATCCTAACGTTCAGTAGGAGGAAAGCTTTTCCAGCACCAAGAGAGAAGTTTATACTCTAGGATGTAGAATGTACAATATTGCAAGTGGGGAAAAACTACTTTCTATTGCTCACCTACGTGGAGATCCCTACAGCTTACATAAAAGGTCCCCGCTCTCATCACATTAACTTGAACTCCATTACATATTAGTTACCCCTTACAACAGTTAAGGCTCAGAGGTTTTCATAGGCCTAAGCCTGAATTCTTCAAAATAATACTTTTTTGTTTGTTGTTCCTTTCTAATATGGAGAGATTTTTTGGGGTGGAGTTTAAGTGAAAAATATACATAAATGTAATTTTATTTTTAGCCTGATTTAAGACTTCTATTGATAAATACCCAAGTAGGAGTCCACTTTTCTTAGCAAGGGTATATGCAACTATAAATGTTTTACTTTATTATCCTGAAGCAATGTATTTCTATGCAAATAATTCCACTCTATAAACTTTAAAATGGTACTCTATTTCCATAAGGAATGGAGAAGACATTTGCCCATATTTCACAACCTTGGTTACACGACCAGAGAATTACCTCAACAATCACCCCAGTCATAGAAAAAAAAAAAAAATTACCACATTTATACTCTGTTTACCAAATATGAATATTGCAAAGTAATTCTAACTCCTATAAAAAATCTAATATTTAATAACTATAACTAGAAAGAAGGAATTTATATAACCTGTAAAACCTTTAAAATTTGGTATTTTTTCAATTGAGAAATAATGCCACATCTGCACACTAATCCAGAGTTCGTTCTACCTACAGGGCAGACAAGGGTTTCTGTGTTCACCTCTGCCTCTGGCTGTGTCTCCTGGTCAAGTGCCATCATAAGAATGGTAATGCACACCATACACCATGAAAATTCAAGACCAGGATTAGAAGTAAAAAATGCACCCAAGACACAGAAGAGCTACCAGATTAAAGTTATTTGACAACACTGCCCAATGGTGGATAGAAATCACCAATTTGGAAACGAAACATTCCATAAGACAACCCCAGATTCTTCCGTGAGCTAGGACTTCATACTATTTTTAGCTCAAATATATTATCAAAGTAGAGCTTTACGTGTTTTTGAGACCAATGGTTTAAAATTCAGTTTTGCATGTTTAAGCTCATTATATTCTCTCATTAGGACTTAAAGGAAAAAAACTCTACACACTTAATGAGATTTCAAATGTTTTCCATTTAATAATTCATTTATTTGTACTAGTCCTTAGTAGTCAATCTTCATATCCGCATTTTTATTTCATCAACAATCATCTCAGACACACCTTCTAACAAGACTGACTTGAAATATTACGACAGGAAACTATGCCTTCAGGAGCATGTTTATTGTGTTTGAGATGATACATCAGGTGCTCTCTGAGCTACAAAGGGTAAAAGGAAATCCTCTCATTACAAACTGACAAAGGTAAAAGGTAAAACATTTTTCACAACAGCATGAACCACATACTCAGAAATAGATCTGGGTTTAATACAAATGACATAATTCCTAGTCATCTACGGCTACTTTTATAACTTCATACAGATAATGAATTAGGCTAAAATGCACTATAATATTTGGTAGACTTCAGGACCAGTATCCTTAGTACATCACAAAATACATTTTGATATCCCAAAGAAGCAAGACTTGCAAGTAGGCGTTTTAAACATAACTAATCTACAGCTACAAACTTCTACTCTTGATAGCATTTACCTTTTTGGGGAGTCTCCCAGTCTCCAAAGGATAAAAGCAGAGAGTAGAATCAGTATAACATATACACAGAAGTCCGTATTGTAAAGGCTATAAAGATTTGCAGCACAGTGAGAAGATGCCTTCAGCTCCTTCACACTGCATACAAATTATGTGAATTATGTTGCGTATCTCTTGGTCCACTGTCTGGCTATCCTGTCATGTTCTGCTCTGTTGGTCAAATACTGAGTGGCTATGCTTCCAACCAGAGGATCCGCTGGAAAAGTGAAAAGAACATCAACAGGTATTACATGGTGTCTTAAAGGTATAGTTTTAATATGTTATTAGATTGGAATGCCGATTTTTCAGCAGCATCTTGAATGACTAAATTTTCAAAAGAAAAATGTTTCAAGTAACATAATCTGTGTAGTTTAATATTAAAATTAGGAAAGGTACTTTAAAAATGAATGTTAAGTTAAAAAATTTGATTTTTATAAAAGATGCATGCCTTCAATATATAAAAACTGTTTTTACTCTCGGCATTTTATTCAACAATGAAAGTGTGCTGAGTGATTATATTTCTGCTTTCTTATGGATATTAAAAAATGTAATTTTTAAATAAAAACTCAGACCTTACAATGCAATGCTATTTAGAATGAAATGTTTCCTTCATCCTGTGCAGTAATATGACTCAAATCATTATCCTTATTTCCATTTGAAAACTCACTTGCCATTTTGTTTTAAATAGAATTCTAAACTAGAAATTGAATCTGAGATATAAACTTTTATTTTGAATTTTTTTTTCAAAAAGGTAAAATACGTGCACATGGCACAATATTTGAAGTGTACCGAACGACACCAGTAGAAAGTAAAGCTCTCTTCCTTCCTGACTCCAATTACTCAGAAGTTTCCCTGGCAAACCATTGTTACCTGTTCACAGGACTGCTACCCAGAGATATTATACACATTTACAAGCACTTAGAATCTTATTGTTATGCATACGTATTCTTTTTCAGTGCCTTACTTCTTTACTTAACATATCTCACAAAGCTTTCCCTATGAATTCCTATAGAGCTGCCTCATTTTTTTTAATAGCTACATCCTCTATTAATGGACACTCAGGTTGTCTCTAATCTTTTGCTTTAATAAATGATGCCACAGTGAATCTTCTTCTATATATTGCTATATCTATCTATCTATTTAGCTATCTAGCTATCTATCTAGCTATCTATCTTTGGCATATATATAACTGCTGAGCCTAAGGTAATAGTAATAGCCTTTGGTGATTAATCAAATATTTAGAAAAAGTAAGTCAACTTCTTTAAAAAAAGACCACTTAGTAAGATAACATACGCAAAATCCCAGGCCTAAACATCACTTTTTCAAGTCAGCTACCCATGTTAAAGATAATGCGTGGAATTATGGATTTCTTAAAAATGTTATGAATTAGGCACTAATGACTTTATTTCTAAGTTTATATAATCATAATCTAGTCCAACGCTCTCATCAGCTATCACTTTAATATCCACTAATACTACATCTACTACATCTAAAACAACTAACCATAATCCACAAAGGAAGGGAGAACAAGAAGCCCTTCATTACTAAGAGATTAATTTAAAGTACACGGTAACAGGGAAGGAGCAAGAAAAGGAGGCACTGGTGTCAGAGTCAGGTACATTGCTTTACTCTAGTCAAAAGTGGCTTGCACAGTCTCATAATTTAGAAAATCCATCAATGGCAGGGAGAAAATAATTATAGGGTAGCATGCCATTAACAAACTAAAAGAACTTATTGTGAAACTTTTTTGTTCTATTCTAATTAAAGTGGCATTGATAATTTCCTAGCCAATGTTTTTTATGCTGATCTTTCTACCTATAGCACTTACTTCTCAAATCCACATTTAAGCTAACCAAGAAAATGCATTAGTTTTTGCAGCTCACTGTATGTGTTAATGAAGATTTGCTTGAAGATTTGCTTACCAGGATTGCAGTCTGTCAAAAGAGAACAAATCGACAGCAAAACCTTTGAAATAGTCAAAGCAGGACTCCAGTTGTCTTTAAGGATGTCCAGACAGATGACTCCCTGACTGTTGATGTTGCAGTGATAGATCCTGGTGCGGAAAGTAACCTAAGGGCAGTCACATTAAATACGTAAAGAAAATGAATGTTTCATTACCAACTACCTCTCACCAGCAAACATGAAGGGATATACATCACAGATGATACTAAATAGCAAATAATGTAACTGAAGAGCTAATCGACTACTAGGTTTAAGTAGTAACAAAATTAAATGGTTTTATTCAGTTGAGAGAAATTTTGTTTTTATCCAGTATAGTAGGAACTATATTGATTTTAAACCGAAGTGAGTAGTTGATTTGATTAGTTTAATCTAAATGATAGATTATTCAATGTATGTATGTGTGTGCGAGTGTACACACACATACCCCATATACATGTGCATGCATGTGCACACACATCCCCCTGTTTAAAGATAGAAAGTGAGGGAGAACAGAAATGTTTTGGTGCCAAAGGTAAGCAAAACTGGTGAAGAATTTTTTTTAACGTAAGACAAAACTTACACTAGTTTCTTAGTAGAAAAAATCAGTATCAACTCAGCTGACTTTTTGCCATGTATCAGAAAATATTGGGGAAGAATTTAGAGGAAGGTTGGTGAAATCACTAACCTTTCTATTTCTCAGCCTTTCATTTCCACAACTGGTCACTGTCTTGTAAGACTAAGACAGTAAAGTAAAACAAGCAAGGTCTTAAGCTACTGCATAAAGCAAACTAATATATCCCTGAGATGTGTGAAAAAAGAGGATAAATCATAGGAACAAACATTGGCAAGTTTCAGAACAATCACAAACACTAATTGGGTAGTTTCAGAACAATCACAAACACTAACTGGGAGGTCAATCTTAATCTGGAGTTGCAGAGAAAACAAAGAAGTTCCTGATCTCTTAGAACTAGCGGTGTACAGTGATCTCCCAAGTGAAGCCTGGGAAGAAAATATTACAAGCCCTCAAAAGGGTATTTATGATAAGGATGCATAATTAAAAACAAGAAAGAAACTACTGGTCAGCGAGGCAGAAGGAGACTATCCACCTCTAGAGCAGCTCTAACACAGTACATACTTGTTATGCAGAGCTCTTAAAACATGTCTAGTCGAATTGAGACGGGCTAAAAGTAGGCTCAAAGACTCAGTATCAAAAAGAGAATGTAAAATATCACATTAATAATACTTTTAAATTGATTACAAGTTGAAATGACAATATTTTGGATATATTGGGTTAAATAAAATATATTATTAAAATTAATTTCACTGTTTCTTTCTACCCTTTTTAATGTAGCTATTAGAAAATTTAAAATTACACATGTAGCTTACACTATATTTCTATTAGACAGTTCTCTAGAATATAAGAATAATATATTCAGATCATTGACAGCTGACTACTCAATAGATATGTATGGTCTACAAACACAATACAATTAATATTTTGAATCTTTTCAGCTATTAACAATCAATGAATAGAAGAGAATTAAATTTTTATTATTCTTCAATAAGTTCAACATTTTATCAAAAATAAGCAGTACTGTAGAGAAATAATTGTACTGAACACCAAGATAATAGCAGAAGTCTTACTTCTTTTTTATTTGTCCAACTATAGATCTGAATAATGCTTCATAATACTGTATATCTTAGGCAAGAAGAACGAATCAACACTAAAGGGTTAGAAAATTAAAATGTTGAGACTTCAGCAAAATATTAACATACTAAATTAATAAACATTAACCAAAACGATTATGGTAAATCATATACAGAACTAGTTTGAAACCTTTATGTTAGTCAATTTCTATTTCCCATTAAAAGACTCTAAAAATATGTCTTTTTCTTCAACAAATTTTCCCTCACGTACAAAAATAATTTTGTAAAAAATCCTGCCAACTTTTTTCTGCTCATTTTGCTTATGATTTCAATTTGAATTGAACTGAAATTGAATCCAATTAAATTTACAATTTCCAATATGAAAAACAAAGCACGGAGAAATAAGTATCACTATTTATAAATACAATCATGAATTATTTTGCTAAGGTTTTGTTTTCTATAATATGGAAAACTTAATCACTGAATGCAAATTGAGCAGTTAGTGATATACTGGTATTTAACGTGTGTCCTTGTGAATGTGAATACAATTTGTGGTATTAACATGAGGGTTCTGTCCCTTTGTTTGAGTGATCTAGCAAGACATACTCTACATAGCTGGGAGCGTTAAATAAGACAATCATTTAAAGATCTTCAATTCTGATGGGACCCAGAGTAAAGGACTCAAAAAACTGATAGCTGTAGGTGAGAGCAAATACCTCTAGGTGTTAGGGAACCTTAGTATCTGCAATTTGAGGTAAATACCACTAGGTGGAACTGTTGTGGCCTTATTAGATAATAGTGGAGTCTTTTTTTTTTTTTTTTAAATAAACCCTTTATTTTAACAGACGCGCGCATGGATGTGAGCACAGGCATTAAATAGATACATATATTTTAGAGAGTATAGGGAACATAAGCAACTATGTTGAAAAGAAAAACATTTCATCATTTAAGGGCTTTATAATACACTTTTCCCTGACATGTCGGAAGTTTGTAGCTAGAGCATAATTACGCTCAGGCTTAATATTGGTGGTTTTTACCTGTTGGCTTGACCAATTTATAAGGAGAATTCAGAGGAGGAAGCTATTCAAGTAATTATTATGTTTAAGACTTGAAAAATATTTGCCAGTCAATACAAGGCAGAACTCAACCCTTCCCTCTGTTATCCATCTAATTTCATATCCAGAGACAACAAAGAGGCCTAAGTCACCCAAGCTACCCTCATTCCCATTATCACATCACACCTACAGAGTACACAAAGTAAGTTTATTAAGTAGTATTAGTTTCCCCCTTCTTTGCTATGTATGGCTTTCTAGCTTTTGCTCATCTATAAAGATAACGTATTTAGCACAAAATTCAAATTATTTAACTCTTATTTCTGGAAGCTGTCAAACAGGTTTACTTTTTATCCCAGTATGTTTCTTAAGGAATAGTGACAGGATATTTTCCCTCATAGCATAAATCTAAAATTTATCTGCTTTATTGATGTGCAAAATGGCATACTTTTATTTACAACTAAACCCTCTTTCTGCTGATGATAAAGTTATCTGTAAAAGGCAGAAATTAATTACTTTCACAGTTTTAAAATTCTTGGTTACACAAGAGTTTCTGTATCAATCCATGAAAAACAATGAAATAAAAATGATTACATCAATGCACACAACCTCTAGAATAAACTGATTTTGGAGGAGAAGGATAAATATTAAAGAACGCACTTCTGGGTTCTTACCTTTGGTGGCTTAAATGGATAATCGGATGAAAATGTGATATCCAGAAAAAACACACCACCTTCATATACAGAACCTGGTGGACCAAGTATAGTTGATCTCCATTCATAAATGTTATCTCCTTTAGGCCCAGCACTATTTAAAAGAAATTAAAAATCAATGTGTATATCTGGAAGCAATGAATGTTAACATCTTAAACTAATTAAGTATTAAAAGTAAATTAGGAACCTAGAGCACTAAGAGATAAGTATAACAGAAGCCCCAATGTGTGCATGCGTGTACAGACTTATTTGAAAATATTTCAAACTTATAGAAAAATTGCAAGAACAAAGAACACTTGTATAACTTTTCCCAGACTCTCCTTCTGTTAACATTTTGCCCCATTTGCTTGACCACCTCTCCCTCTCCCTCTCTGTATATATAAACACACCCTCACACAAAGTGCTTTTTTCTGAGCCATTTGAGAATAAGTTGGATACATCATGAATCTTTCCCCATAAATACTTCAGTGTACATTTCCTAAAATAATCTCCAATACAATCACAATACAGCTACAATTTCAGTAAATGTAATATCAATACAATACTTTAACCTACAATCTGCAAAATAATGTTGTCAACTGACCCAATAATATTTAAAAAAAAAAACTTAATTTTCCTCCAGATACAGGATCCAGTCTTGGGATCATTTATGTCCCATGTCTTCAGTCTCCTTTAATATGAAGCCTTTCAGCCTTTCTTTGACTTTTATAACTAACATTTTTGAAGAAAATAGTTCTTCTTTTTTTAATAGAATGCTCATCATCTTGAACTGGTCTGATGTTTCCTCATGATTAGATGCAGGCAGTGCATTCTTGGCCAGAATAGTACCTAAGTGATGCTGTGTTCTTCTCAGGGTATCACATCTGGAGGCAGATAGTATTCACCTGTTCCTAACTGGTGATGTTAATTTTCATTACCCAGATCCAGTGCTGTCCAACTTTCCTACTGCTTACTTAATATCTTTTCTCTGCAACCAATAAGCAACCTTTGGACAAACACTATAAGACAATGCAACTATCCTACTCTGCCTCAAGATTTCTCCCCCAGATTGAACATCCATTTGTGATTCTTGGTTGAACTAAACTTTACTATGATGGTGATAAAATCATGATTTTCCAGCTCCAGTATTTCCTCCATACTTACCTGCTGGCCCTCTTGAGCCTTCTCTTTCCCCGTTGGTGTGAATATGTGTATTACTGGTGAGGGCTCATGGATCCCTATTTTTTTCCTAATGATTTGTAATTCATTACTGCCTTTAATTATTTTGATGCTCAAAGAACCGCAGATTTGGCCAGTGGGAGCCCCTTCAAAATGGCCCCTATATCCTTGTGACAGGCCACCATCATTTTTTTGTGCACTTCTTACTTTCCGGCATAGATGTTCCAGATCCCAGCCTTGGAATCAGCCATTTTTTCAAGGATCCCTGGCTCCTTTTAGTGGGAATGTCATTAGAAACCAAGGTCTGAGTGCTAGGTGCTACTAAGTCCCAGGTACACTGCATTGTGCTCACCACTATCATTTCATTTATAACACAAATGAGACAATTCAAATAAAATCTAAACTCACCATTATCTATTGAAAGGCACACCCAATACTCCTTAAACTCTCTTCAAACTTACCTTATAGACTTCCATTTTTCTCTAACCTTTACATCATAAATTATCTTCACTTTTGGAACTAATGTACATATAAAGCTTTTCTTCTTTTAAAGTGACCATCAGTTTAGAAATGATCTGCATATTTGATTTAAAAAAGTGCAAATCAGCACAAGTCAACCATATTAATTACAGTAAGACAGATATAGTTAAAATGATTTAACTATATCTTATTAATTCTGTAAAACAAACTGTGAACGGTAAACAGGTAAATGACCTTCATATACAGAATAATTAAATGTGTGCTCTGAAAAATAGTTTATACATAAAGAGTGTAAAAAACTTGATGGTATAATCAAAATGTTTATAGGATCCGTCAAAAATCTATCTTTAAGGAAGATATATATGAACAATAAAATTTATATATTTTGGCCTATTTTTGGAAAATATATTTTTTAAAATAAATATTATTTTATAAGTTTTAAGTATACACAGCAACTGGAGCTAATTACAATAATGGCTGATTGTTCTGTCATCATTTGAGAATCAGGAATATTCCCTAAGTGAATTTTCACTGTAACTAAAAATATATAAAATTGGGTATCAATTTTGAAGAAAAAAAAAGTTTAACCTGATTCAATGGCATTTCCTTTTCAAAGTTTATTTTTCCTTTGGTGACTCAAGGTAATTATTATAAAATTAAATTATAGCATCAGAGACTTTTATAGTAAAATGTTTCTAAACTATATATGTCACACTAGTAGTAGTAGTAACAATAATAATAATGTTAGCTAAGGTTTACTACATCCTTATTATAAGCCAGGCATTGTTCACAGCATCATAGTGCATAACATTTAATTCTCCTTACAAATCTATGAAGTAGGTACTATTATTATATTCCTATTTTTAGATGAGGAAATGAAGGTTCAGAGTTAAATAACTTTCTGCATGTCCCACAACTATAAAATGACTCAGACAGAATTTGGACAAAGTCTGTGAACTAGTCTGTATTGTCCTTAATGATTTTGCTATATTTCCTCTTATAATTCCAGTGCTGCTACATCTAATCTAATCTCCAAATTTTGCAAATACTTGTTTGTGAAGAACCCAAGGGGAGCTGTTCTCCAAAGAAACCAAATTTCCTCAGCAATATTTTTTTATTCTCAGCAAAACCATGTTATGCTTCACATGGCTGAATAGGAGGTAAGTTGGGGATTATTATATTTTAATGAATCACAGAATTTCAGACTGGAAAGGATCTAGTTGAGGCCCAAACTCTCCCTTCACACTTTAAGAAACCAAGACACAGAAAGTAAGTGATTCATCTTAAATTCCCTCTGCCAGGTGGTAAAGAGCTGAGATTCCCACACCAAACTCTTGGTTCTTGAATTTGCATTCTTCTCACTTATCATGCTATTTTGCCACAGGACAAAGAATATGTTTATTACAGCAGGATATTAAATGTGACCTTCCCTGTTGTCTTGGAGTAGACTGAGTAGGGCTGCAGCTTCTAGTAGTGTGACTCCTTTCTGTTCCAAGGACACCTAGCCTAAGTGAGGGTGAAGTGAGTGAGAGAGGGCTAAAATCTAGCCCTTGTACTGGCTGCCTTGTCTGGAATAAGGGGCCCATTTTCCTTTTCACAAAGGTGCCCTCTGCTAGTCAAGGTGGGGAGAAGGTAGGGAAAGGGTGTGTGTGTCGGGGTGTTGGATGCAGGATTGATTCTACCCTAATTCAAACAAAGCATTTTACAGGTTAGCAGCTGACCTGCCACTGAGGCTTCCCAGCTGAGTAGAAAATGGGTGATAAATGCCGACAATCTCAAGACAGGTGCTATACACACCTTTTCACTGGTTCTCATTCTCTCTCTCTTTTCCACCAGGGCAACACTCTAGCAATTCTACCCTCCTTCCTGGATCATCTACTTCTCCCTCTCTGGTGAATCATGCCCACAGGAATACCACAATGCCACTTTTCCAATCTTTATTTAAAAACAAACCTCTATTCCTCTACCCCTTCCAGCTCCCATCTCAATTACCTCTTACAGGCTTTTACTCCCCATCACTCCATTGAAATAGCTTTTACCCAAGGTCACCAATGACCTCATCACTAGACCCAATGCTCATTTCTCAATCCTCATCTTATTTTGACTGGTCCAGCAACATTTGGCATAGTTGATCACTTCTTCGTCCTCCTCGATATACTAGCTTTGTTTCATTGCTAAAATAACATACTTACTTGTTTTCCTCCTAACTTTCCTGGCCCCTCCTTCTCAACCACTGTTCCTATTCCTTATCTTCCAACCTATAAAAACTGACAGTCCTCCAGAACTCAGTCTTTAGACCTCCTCTCTTTTCTACCTACATCCACTGTTTTGGTGATCTCATGCAGTTTTATGGCTTCCAATAGCGCCAATAAGCTCTCAACTCCCAAATCTGTCTGTATCTCCAGCCTAGATTTCTATCCTGAATTCCAGAGCTACACATCTAAGTGCTTACTAAACAGTCTTTATTTTGAAATCTAATATTTTGAATCTAATAATTTTGAAAATTCCTCAAATTTAACCTATCCTAAAGTGAGTTGTTCCTGATATTCCAATTCCTCGTATAATCTTCCCTATGTCGGCTAATGCCAACTCCATTCTTCTAGTTCCTCAAGGCAAAAGCCTAGACCTCATCCTTAACAACACTTTTTCTACCCTACATCCACTATATCATCAAATTCTATTGGTTTTATCTTTAAAACGTACCTGAAATTCTACTACTTCTCCCTACCCCTGTCAGCCCAACCTTGATTCAAAAGACCAGCACCCTTTGCCTGGATAATTACAATAGCCTCCCTGCTTCCACTTTTGACCCCCCGCCCCCCGTAGTCTATTCTCAATATGACAACCAGGCAGAGCGATAGTTAAAAAGCAAATCACACCATGTAACTCTGCTCAAAATCCTCCAAAGCCTTACCTTCTCATTCTTTGTTAAGTCAAAGTCTTATGACTTACAAAGCATTGTATAATTTGATGCCACCATCACCACCACTATCCTTCTTATCTGTTCCTCTCTTCCTTGTTCAATTGGTTGTAGCAAGCTGTTTCTCCAACACGTGTCTACTTCCAACCTCAGGGCTTCTGCACCAGTTGTGTGTCTGCCTGGAATGCTCTTCCAGAAGACACCCCCATGGTTTGCTCCATCCCCTTCTGCGGGTCTTGACCCAAAAGTCATCTTCTCAGTGAGGCCTTTCCTAGCCATTCTATCTAAATCTCACATATGATCTCCACACATTTCATGTCCTCCTTTCGATTTTTTCCCCATGGTATTTATCACTCCCTAACGTAGTATGTATTTTATCTATTTATCTTACTTATTGTCTGTCTCCCACTAGAACGTAAGCTCCATACAGTTACAAGATGTGGACTGGGCTCTTTAACTTAGAGTGGACTGGGCTTTTTTTTAATCTGTTTTTTTGCTAAGAGGAAGATTAGCTCTGAGCTAACATCTGTGCCAGT